TATATATATATATATATATATATATATATATATGTGCGTGTGTGGACTGAGGGAATGGAATACCGTATACCTAACGACCCAATTTGAATCTGAGCCGATCAGATGGTCGTAATTGTTGGATATGGTGATATCCAAAATCACCCACATGAGGAAATCTCATATTTTGTGGGATTGAGAATGATATTGATAAGTTTCCTAAAGAAACTAGAAAGGTGACTTTTTCAGGGAGAAGAGAGCTTTCTATAGAGAGAAACATTATGATGGTACATCTTGTAGACTATGAGAGGTTGTTTCTAGTAGAAAAATGATTTCCATAGAGATTTTAAGCGGTTTTCCTTTTAGTTAGAGAGAAAGTCAATTTCATGTTGCTTTTGCATCTGTATCTATTGTCGTCAGTAATGATTGTCAGAAGTAAAGAGAAGGAAGAACAATATGTGGTGTCCGTCGGAAAAAATGTTTTAAAAGACTTTACTCAATTGGCTTTTGTCGAGGGTTAGAGAGGTAACTCTATATCCCAAAATCTACCATGTGATTTTCATTGGTAAAGTGGATTTTAGTTTGTCGTGCCAATAGATATAGCCCTTCAAGGACGAACTAGGTAATATTTGTATTCTTGTGGTATGTGTTTCATGCTTTATTTGCCAACAAATTTAGACATCATATGCTTTTATTTATTTTGTACATAGAGCTTTTTTAAATAAGGGTATTTTCAGTTATTAGGAGGGATATGACATCATTTACATGCGGTGTGATATCACCAATATAGAGCATTAAATGCCACTAGTGTGTTGCATGTGGATGATGTCACACCCTATGTGGATGACATCATACCCCTCCTAATGATAAAAAATACCCTTATTAAAAAAATTCTCAATATACACAACAAATGTATAGCAGTTATGTAAATAAAATTAAGATTATTTTTAATTTATTATTTTTTGGTTTACTTTTCTTAAGAATAAGAAGTGAGCTGGGATAATTAATAGGAGAAATAGGATTTTGGTAGTCTTATTAAGTGGGAGGATTTTGTGAAATAGATTAGGAATAATCTTTTAGGAATAATTTGAGAAGGGATAAAAATCACGTGAAAATGAGGGAGCTATTTTGGGAAAGTTGATGAGATGTAGAGAGAAAATAGGGAGATAGCATGTGAGGGAGATAGGGAGAGATATATGTAGAAGTTGGAGAGAGAGACAAGGGAAAGTGGTGCAAGACTTTTAGAGAGATAAGAGAGAGTTTATTTTTATTGTGAGTTGTTTTATTTATTTATTTATTTTCAAAGTCTTTTAAAGGGAAAATCCCTTAGAGGTCGTTTAGGTACCTGGAAGTTTATTACATGATAATAGATTAACCGAGATTTTTTCAAAAATCACGAAACCCATTATGCGCAATGAGAGATGAAAAATCACAGGTATTCTTTGAAAAATCTTTCGCGCGTCTCTCTCTGCACTATCCCCGCTTAAAAATATATCTATGCCCTATCTCCACTTATGAAAATATCTTTGTAAACCTTTGGTTTGCATAGGTCCCTCCCTCTCTAAGCCCGCCCCTCTCTTTCTTGAGCCTTAATAACTGGTTTGCATAAGTTGCACATCTCTCTTTAAGCCCCTTTCTCTCATCTGGACATTTTCTTTTCAGCTGCAAACCTGAAGAGAGAAGCAGGAGAGTCGCTACTGCTCACCTAAAAAGGGAGAAGCATGAAAGTCCTGGTAAGCCCTACACAATCATAATAAAAAATTTCACACAACATAATCCTCATATGAGATTAGAAAAAGCTCAATTGAAATAAGATACGTCTTTAGTCTCTTCCAATGCCTCAAAATTTTCTACTACAATTACCAAACCTTCTAGTTTACTAATCAAATTTTTTCCCATTTTTTAACTGGTACTACAAAGATTTTGAATTTGGTATCCTAAATTTATTGTTTATTTGAAATTATATAGAGAGACATTTGAAAGACTTCTAAAAAAAATAAATAAAAATAAGGCTTATCACAATAAAATCATGTTATTCCAATCATATTATTCCAATGACTTATCATATCGACAACAAAGTCTAATCATATTAGAAGACATGTGATTCCATGTAAGTTCCAAAGGCATGCAAAATAAGTAAGAAATGATGTCATCATGACTTTAGAATGGTGCAAGTTTTTATTAGAAAATCTTTTTGCATCTAAATATTACTGAAACAGTAACAATGCATTTGCAGGTAATATACGACGCCAGTAATATATTTCACATACAATATAATTCCAGGCATCCAAACTTATTGTAAAGCTAGGGAATGAAAATTGAATAAAATTTGATCCTGTGAAGAGCATTTTTGGGGTGGATTCTCCTGTAAACCTTGAGAGAGAGTTTATTCTTTCAACTTCTTCTTTTTTTATTGTTATTATTGTGGGTTTATTTTCTCCCTGTATCAGTTGGTATCAGAGCAAGTTAGATCCAAAGAGAGCAAGTAAGATCTAGATATCTATTTTTTTTTTGCAATGCCACTAAAAGCTCATGAAGTTAATTCTACTCCTTCTATGGACGATCTCGAGGGACAAGCTATAGAAAATTTGACTAAAGCCCTAAAGGATGTTTGATCCAAAGTACATGAAATGAATTAGGGGATGCAACAGTTGGATCAGAGGTTCCAGCTGTTGGAGAACAATGTTAATCGTGAAGAAGGTGCTCGCAGCCACATTGATCTTGTACCAGTAGTCCCACGACAAACCCAATGTGTTAATTTTGAGCGAAACGTAAAAATTTATATGCCAGATTCGCAACCGATAGAAGGATCACGAGATTTTTGTATTAAAATCGATCTCCCAAAATTTCATGGTCAAGGGTGTTCATCGATTGCATATGGCATTTCCTAGTTAGGAATAATCAGCCCAAGCACATATTCAACAATTACTCTTGGAACACAGTAATAGGCAAAGAGTCTTACAACAGTCTTGAGGAAATTGAAGACAAAGTACCGAGGCTAATGGTGAGACTTCATCACCAATTTTTAAGAAGGCTTCTAAAAGATTTAAGTTCGATAAGTTCGAAGTCGAACTTCTCCCAACCCAGGTAAAATGATGCAAATAAAATTAGGGTTATTTTAATTTTTATTTAATTATTCTTTCGTTTATTTTTCTTAACAATAGGAAGTGAGCTGGGATAATTAATCAGGGAGAGAGGAATTTGGAACATATTGTTAAGCAGTAAGATTTTGTGAAATAGATTAGGAATAATCTTTTAGGAATGATTTAAGAAGGGATAAAGATCATGTGAGAATGAGGGAGCTATTTTCGGGAAGTTGCTGAGACGTAGAGAGAAAATAAGGAGATAGCGTGTGAGGGAGATAGGGAGGAGATTATGTAGAAGTTGGGGAGAGAGAGATAAGGGAAAGTGCTACGAGACTTTTAGAGAGATAAGAGAGAGTTTATTTTTATTGTGAGTTGTTTTATTTATCTATTTATTTTCAAAGTCTATTAAAGGGAAAGTCCCTCATTGTAAAGGCTGTGAATGTGAATTGAATAAAAATCGGTCTTGTAAAGAGATCATTTTTTGGGTGGATTCTCTTGCTGACTTTGAGAGATGGTTTATTCTTTCAACCTTTTTTTTTTTTAATTGTTATTATTTCGGGTTTATTTTCTCCCTGCATAAAGAAGAGTCCAAAATTTGTTGAGTACAATGATAAATTACTCCACAGTGTAAGCACCCTAACATAACTCATATATATATATATATATATATAGAAAAGTTCACATAGAACCAAAGATCTAAACAATCAAATTAAAGCCCACTTCAAAAGTTTCACTAGAAGAAGTTGTTTTGATGCCCAAATATCTTCAAATTGATCATCTCGACTTCAAGATGCATGGACATGAGAAAAAAAATGGATTTCAAGTTTTGGAAATAGTGTCTCTTGTAATGCATTTTTTACCGTCAATTTTTCAAGTTTTTCATATTTTCATAGATTTGCTCAATTTGAGGATATTAAGGAAATTTGATTGACACAAAAATTGGGATATTTTATCAAGGTGTGTCCAAATAAAATATTAAAAAATTCATAAGTAAAAAAATAACAAATTTACCCCCCCTTTCCGGGCATAGATCAATTTTAATTTTCAAAATACTTTGTAATATTTTTGTTGGATGTGTCATATTAAAATTAAACCACAAAATTTCACGTCAATCTGACTTATACAAAAACTTAAAAATAAAAAACCACCACACATCACATGACATAAGATTGCCAACTTTTACACTTTACAATGGATATTATGGGGGGTGACATTTTATATTCGTTAATATAATCAATAGATAATGTGTTTATGACATCTGCATGCGTAAAATCTTTAATGCACCAATGGTGATTTAGCTCATGTATTTAGGTTCGGACGTGGTTTTGGTGAGTCAGCCGACTCACCTATTACCGTGCAGTCCCTTGTCTATCTAACGTCCATCTCTAAGTTGGATGTATAAAAACTATTACATCCAATAAATTAAAATGGCTGGTAAAGAAAGAAATTCAAACAATAACATTTACATTGTTTGAAAAATAAAAATTCTTAATTTAGATCATTGTCATGGTTGATATTATTGAACTCTAAAATTTTGGATAGAAATTATATTTTTGACGTATATTTTTTAGGGGGACCACACTAGAATAATGTGAGTCCACCAAACACTTTTTCATTAGATTTTAGAGTTAAAGGGAGATTTACACAATAACTGAACAGAAGAGATAGAAAACTATCCGACACAAATGTTTCCATGAACACAAACCCAATTTTACAGTCTAGAGAAGAAATGCTCCTCATTTATATTTCTTGTCTTTCGCTCTAGGGATCTTGTTTAGAACATTTGAGTCGAACTTCTTGTACATCCTCTGTATCTCTATGTTTCCTGTCCTGGCGATGTTCCCCACCTCGCTCTCGTATCGATCATAGAGTACTGGCATTATTTGCATGCACACATAGGCTGGACACAATGCAAAGAAAAGCATATCAAAATTACATTCAAAATTTTCTGCCAGATTTCAAATCGGGTGGTTTTGAGTGTATTATTAACTACACTCAAAGTTAAAAAAAAAAAAAATATCTTGAATTTTGTGACACAGCTAAGCTATCCAATTTGACAACCAATAAATAGGAGCAAATGTGACCTCCTTATGACAGACATATATGATCACATACTATAATCCCCTTGACTGTGGATTTTTTTAGTTCAATAATAATTTGATGGGAGTGAACATGATGAACCACCATTGACAATTGATGGATCTTGGTGACTGTAGATTTTCCTTACCATAAGTACTACAGATTTGCAGTACAGTTTCCCTTGTGTCAGCCCTCTAATATAATACTTTTTCTTTCTTTTTTTGGGGTGAGTTAGTGGAGAGAGGGCCCCTATCCTTGGTATGAATTGAGCCAGTGTTGCAAATCGTCACACGATAACCAATTAATACAATACCTTTTATTCAGGCCAAAGCTTTCGGCCCATTGACTATTTTAGATTGAATTTCACTAAGATCAGCAAATAGGATATATACTGAGTACTAACCGAAATATACACAGCTCAAGAAATTGCAGTAGCTTCCAATCACTGATAATATCCACAAGACAAAAATTGTCTGCAAAACAAGCAACAAGCATTAGCTCTTAAAACCTTGTGTTTTTTGTTCAGTCTTGATGGGTTTAGAGAGGGATTATGTGAAAGGGGCCAATTTTCTAAAGCTCAAAGGAGATTTGAAATGGAACATCAAATTCATACTAACATAAGACAGAAACAAAACGATATTCAAAATGTAGACAGTGCTTATTCATACGGTCCGACCAGCATCAACCGCTCAAATTGATCCAAGCAGAATGAGAGGCGGATGAATTCAATTCACATTTGCCCCTAAAGAAGTGGCAATAGGGTACATACCAGGAGAAAGAGCATAGGATCCTTTCCTGAGGCCATATCTTGTAGGACCACCATGAAGTAAGTTAGTTTGGAGTGTAAGACATGAGCAACTTCTTTGAATAAAGCCTCAGATATCATCAATTCTGAAATTTTTGGGGGCCTCCTGACCAAAAGAAACAAAAATAGGGTATCTTTTGATCAATATTACCATAGTTTGACAAGATGAGAATTGATATAATTTTTGTAAACAGTTTAATAGCAGCAGCAGCATCAGGAACAACTAGCTTTAGTATAAATGTACAAATAACCACGGTGATGATAATGATAATTATTATGTGGTGTGTCTTCTTTGCAATCTTTGGATTGGTAGAGGCTCCTGATGTTTTCACCATTTGATGTTTCATTTTCTATGTAAAATATATAAATATATTTGGCTTCAAGAAGGTGATGCGCAGATTGCGTCCTACCCGACAAGGTTCAAGATCGAACTAGAGTTGACCCAGAGCCACTCCGGCCTAGGTTGATTGGAACCGGACCCAACCCTCCAGGTAGGCGCATCCGGGTCATAATAGTTAGGTCTCGGTTAGACCCAGACCTAATTTGACTAGATTGTTGGCTCCACATTTTGAAGGTCCAACTTCTAAATGCAAAAATGTTGCAACCATATGGCATTATTTTGAAATTAAAAAACATACTATTCTCTTAGTTATTGTCATAAAAATATTATTTTCTCAATGAGATATGCCTTCATCAAAATCATAACTTTTTTTCAATTAATTGGGGTCAGCTACACAAATCTTGGTCCGTCATTCTCCTCTCTTAAGGGCTATACCCTCAGTAATTTAAATAATAATAATAATAAATAAACCGATACCTGTCTACGAAAGCAGCACCATTGCACCATACAAAGAGAAGAACCATAGCAAGAATGGAGGCATAGCACATAACTGTCATGAAATGGTATTCCATCACCTCGAACACCAACCACACAGCCGTCACTCCCGCTAAGACTCCAAGCGACAACTTCCAGTCCTTCCACAGTAGTACATCAGTCACTGTATACGCAAATGCAGCATGCATCAAACAATCAATCAATGAATATTGTATAGTCCACAAGGAACATTATATGACAGTTCTTTCCAATGAAACAACCGTTCCATAATCTCCATCACATGCAGTGAAAATCGTATTGATGTACAGTACATAATATCACCGACAACCGTAGATGTTACCTTTCCCTTTACCAAAGATGCTTTGTGCCGGCCTATGTTGGCGAACGAGCCTGGTTTCTGACTGCAAGCGGTCATCTTTGGATTCCGAGATCGGCATTTCTTTTGCAGCTCTTCTGGGTTTTGAGCACAAGAATGTGCGTGTGTGGGATGGTGGCTTTGTGGAACGATGAAAACTGAGAATCAATTTCATTTCTTATATTGTTGAGGGATGTTCCAAGCCTAGGAATCAAGAAAGAAAGTAAGAAGAGGAAGGAAGAGAGGTAAAGGATTGCTTTTGCTTGGCCTCTAAGCTTCTTTTGAGATGCACTAATGAAAAGAGAGCCCAAAAGAAGCATGAGTGATTGAACTTGGCTAATAAAGCAGCATCTTAAAATAGTGGCATGCCATCAATTCCTTTCTCATATTAATAAAATATCAAGCACATATATGCTCCTTCGGTCACAAAACCTATTTGGGAAGATTTTTCAATGTGAAATGTTGGAAACTACTTAATAAACATTAGATTATTATTCTAAAAAGAAAAAATTAAAAATCTGAGTTTTTTAAAACTTCGATTTCACCCTTTAAAAATTGGACGGTTTTTATTCAATCTTGAGACTTTGTTTTTTCTTTTTCAAGTGCTCTGAGGGTGCAATTAGAAAAACAATTTTTTTTATTGAGATCAATGTGTCCCCAAAATTTGGGGTCCTTCCTATAGTAATCATAGGTGGGGTTCTAGGAGAGGGTAAATGCACATTATACTCCCATACTCCCGAGGTAGTATAATATCTTTTGGCTAAGTCAATTATTTTGGCAAAAAAAAAAGGCCCCCCAAAAGATTTCATGCTCTTTAGGGAGTACACTGTCCATTTACTCCCTTGAATGAAACCCGAGGAGTAGTTTTTAAGATCCAAAATTTTTGGGACGTGAACTCTTCAGGAGTAGCGTCAATAGAAAAGAAGTCCAAATAACAACTCTATACACTTAATAAAATTATATGTCAAAAATGAATAGAGACCATCCAATTTTTGGAAGGTGAGATCTACGGGTTAAAAAACTCAAAAATTCAATTTCTTTGTTTTGAAAACGAAAGTCGGGTGATTCTAAGGTGGTTCTAAAAATTTTACAATTAAAAAATCCTTCCAAGTTGTCTGACCTGCTAGAGAAGTGTGTTGGAATCTTTTGATAAAGAGAAGGATGTTGCACTCCTCATGACTACATGATTAGGCAGCATGGGGATCATAGTCAATCCTAAACTTCCTAGATGACCATCCAACCCATTGAATGGATGGTGATGACGCTATTTCATGTGGTCACCAGGGCCAGTTCTATGGTATTGTTGCCATGTCTGGGAACTAGGCGCTTGATAAACAAGCAAGAAAGCGAGGGTGTGAAAGCTGAAGTTTGTCCATTAAAGAATCAAAGACATGATATCCCTCTGCTCGTTTGAGAATGTATCCCTCTTCAAATTTGAACAGAATAAATAGGAAAATTAATGTTTTGATCAGAAAATATTTGTGATAGTACTGCTTAGTCTATCTTTTTTTTGCAATTTTAACGCAGGAGTTTTATTTTCTTGTGGTCATTTTTATTTTCGTTTCGCTTTGTTTATAGTACTGCTTAGTCTGTCTTTTTTTTGCAATTTTAACGGGGGAGTTTTATTTCTTGTGGTCATTTTTATTTTCGTTTCGCTTTGTTTAAAGTACTTCTATTAAAATTTTATGGATGCTCTGATACCATGTAAGAATATTTGGATAAAGGCTGATACGACTGTTGGTAGATTTTGGAAAGATGTGTGAGGGTATTGTAAAAATATTTTGTTAGTTTAAAGAAGAACTAAGCACTCTTTCTTTCTTGCTCTTTCTTTCTTGGAGAGATAAACACAAACACTCAAGGTTTTTCACATAATCTCATTTCACAGGTTAAGCACAAGTTACATCCACTCCTTGCACATATCTCATTACATGATGCCCATATATAGGCGTTTACAATAGTTATGCAACGGCTCACGACTCACAAACCTGACTAGATAACTACCTACAAACCTGACTAGATAATTACTTACAAACCTGACTAGATAACTACCTACAAAGCCTATAACTCTAACTATATATTACCCATAAAGACAGAGCCTAGATAACTCTAATTATATATTACCCATAAAGACAGAGCCTAGATAACTCTAATTATATATTACCCATAAAGACATAGATAACTATCCATGACTGATAACTAGCCTCACATCTAAAGAGATGGATAAGAAAGATTCGAACCCCATAACCCCTATTATTTTGCACCATTTTCAATACTTCCCCTTGACCTTGATGCAAAATTTCATCTACCATTTTCAATACTTCCCCTTGATGCAAAATTTCATCTTTTTTTTAAAAAAAAATTCTATGTGCACTGGAATTACGAAGGTCAATACATATCAAGGCTTCAAGCTTTTCAATATGTTTTTTCATTTCATAAATTTCTTCTTCTTCATCTTCTCTTCTTCGTCACCTTTAATTTCAATTACTTCTTTCATTAAAATTACTTCTTTCATTTTTGCTAATTGCGCAATTGGCTTCTTTCATTTTTGCTAATTGTGCAATTGGCAAAATAGGTTGCAGTGTGTTCCACTTCCTTTTTCGTATCCATATAGTATCTTTAATTTCAATTACTTCTTCCATAATATAGTATCTTTAATTTCAATTACTTCTTCCATAATATAGTATCTTTAATTTCCCATAATAGGTTGCACTGTTTTCAACTTCTTTATCTTTAATTTCAATTACTTCTTCCATTTTTGGCTTCCATTTTGCCGATTATGATATAGGTTACATTGTGTTCCACTTCTTTTTTCGTATCCATATAGTATATTTAATTTCAATTACTTCTTTTATTTTTGCCACTTCTTTTTTCGTATCCATATAATATATTTAATTTCAATTACTTCTTTCATTTTTACCAATTGTGATATCCATATAGTATCTTTAATTTCATATATGCCAATTGTGATATCCATATAGTATCTTTAATTTCATATAGCATATTTAATTTCAATTACTTCTTCCATTTTTGCCAATTGTGATATCCATATAGTATCTTTAATTTCAATTACTTCTTCCATTTTGCCAATTGTGATATCCATATAGTATCTTTAATTTCAATTACTTCTTCCATTTTCTCTTTTCTTTCTTGCCAATTGTGATACAGCAAAATTTCCATTTTCTCAAAATTGGCTGCATGTTCCGCTTCTTTTTTCCTATCCATATATTTCGATCCTGAAAATTCTTTTCCTCCTATCCATATAGGATCCTGAAAAATCCTTTTTTTCTATCCATATATTTTGATCCTGAAAATTCTTTTCCTCCTATCCATGTAGGATCCTGAAAATTCTTTTCCTCCTATCCATATAAGATCCTGAAAATTCTTTTCCTCCTATCCATATAAGATCCTAAAAATTCTTTTCCTGCTATTTCTACTTCACAAATGCTACTTCTACCTCTTCTTGGTCACAGATAAAATGGGGCTTTGGTCGGGTCTCCTTGATAATTTTGTACATTGGTTTTTCAATTTGTTGCTTTGGACAAAATTCATTAAACTTCCTTTTTGGAGTAGCAATTGCCATATTTCTTGATGTGTTTTCTACAAAAACAAATTGTGGCAATTAGTTTTCTTTTTAATTATCTTTTTTTGAAACATTTTTCTCCCATTTTTTTATGTTGTCTTATGATATAATACTCTAGGACTGTGGTACTTTTTTAAAAAAATATTTTTTTATGTCATCTCACGGCATCATCATGTCTTTTTCCTATGCCTACTAGGCATGGATTTCCCATCATGCCTTTCCATGACACGACATACCAGAATTGTTGTGTCCTATGTTTTTTTTATTTCTCAAAAATCATTTTTATTTTTCCTATGCCTACATAGGCATGGATTTCTCATGAGGATGCCACTTATGTCCTCCTTTGAGATTCTTTTTTTAAAATCTCATTTTCTGAAATCTTTTGCAAAAATATGATATCAAAAGCTCTCCAATTTTGTTTACCCCTTTTTTAAAAAAAAAAAAAAAAAATCTCCATCTTCTTTTTCCAAAAACATCATATTTAAGAAAAAAAAAATTCATTTTTTTCTTATTTTTTTTTATTGCAAATCACCTAACATTTTAATCAAAATATTTTTTTTTTGCTTTTTTTTAGAATCACTTTTTTGTTTTTTTATCAAGACCCAAACATTTTTTTCATTTTAATTTTCCAATACTCATAAAATTCACCTTTGAAAATGTAATCAATAGTTGAAAAATATTTGGACAACTAGGATGTGTCATATGGAATGAAGCAAGAAATTAAATAAAAAGATTTAAATATCTATCACCTTTGCCTTGAGTTTTGTCTCTGACGAGCTGGTCCTAAATTTCACACCAACGACTGTCTCTTTGGCGACATGTGATCTCCTTATCTTTTTTCTTTTTTTTTGTTGTTCAACCTGGGTTCTCCCATGCATATCCTGCACTTGGGCTCTCCACATCAGTGCCTCTCTTTTTTTTTTTTCACAACCTCTGCTCTTCAAGCCAATTTTTGGATAAGTATTGTAAAAATATTTTGCTACTTTAAAGAAGAAGTAAGCACTATTTCTTTCTTGGAGATATAAATGCAAACACTAAAGGTTTTTCACATGCATCTCATTTCACAAGTTACGCGAAAGTTACATCCACTCGTTGCACATATCTCATTATATGATGCCCTAAGCATCTACATCAGTTATGCAACTACCTACGACTCACAAACCTGATTAGATAACTACCTACAAAGCCTATGTGATTAGATAACGCCAACTACCTATTACTCATAAAGAAAGAGATAACTAGATAACTCTAACTACCTATTACCCATAAAGAGAGAGATAACTTCCCATGATTGGTAACTACCCTCACATCTACTAAGAGAGAGATTAGAAAAACACGAACCCGACAACTCCTATTATTTTACATCATTTTCAATTCACTAGTAGGAATCGAACTTGAGACACATAGCTACTAACCACTCAAGCCCATACCTAATTCCTATTTTACTTTTGCTTTGAATTTAAGGGCTAGAACCTCATTTTTATTTTATTTTTTAAACATCAATTATTATAGGACAATGTGAAAACCCTAAAGTCAAAGATCTGGGGCAGTTCGAAATTAGTAGCTTCACATTGCCCAGGTACAAATTTTGGCCGAGAATGAAGCTGTTCTATATTATCAATAGTGCTTAGCTCCATGCTCGGAAGCTTTTGAATTATGGAACAGTTTGCCAGCAACTTTGAGTTGTTCCATACATCAAAA